TTTTGTCAAAATGGAATGTTTAACAAAATTAGATTTGTCAAGAAATTAATTATCACAATAGTATTGGAATTGATCTTGTTGCCATGTCCGCTAATGATCTCCTAGCAAGAGGCGCTGAAGCTGTTGCTATGTTAGACTACATTTCATATAGTTCTCTTGGCAAAGAAGTTATCCAAGCCATACTTTCCGGGATTGCAACTGGCTGCCGTATAGCTGGTTGTGCTCTTGTTGGTGGTGAAACAGCTCAAATGCCAGGGCTTTATCCTGCGGGTACATATGATCTTGCCGGATTTGCTATAGGATATGTCGAACGCGGTCAGGATCTACCTGAAATAGATACGATTATACCCGGTAGGTTTCATAGCTTTTATCATTTGCCAAGACCTATTCGGATATATGAGAGAAAATGCCAGACATCTTCTTCATCGATAATTATAATTAGCTTGAAGTGATTATTTCTAATAAGAGGACTGATCCATGTCCAAATTATTATTTGCAAATACGGGTGTAGGAGATAAAGTGATAGGTATTGCTTCATCGGGAATTCATAGCAACGGATTCAGCTTAATTAGACGAATTGTTGAACAAAAACAGTTACATTATGATATGCCGGCACCATTTTCGGTCCAGTCATCCAATATTGGTACAGCTCCAATGTCATTAGGTATGTATAAATGGCTAGAGTAACGACTGCATACCAGTTTTGTTTTATAATACTCTTACGAAGAAATTTTCGCCATATGCGAAGATCAATGAAATTCTGACTGCTTCATAACATTTTCTAAAGGTAAAGCCCTCTTAATTCCAACGAAAATTTATTGTCGATCATTATTGTCGGTGCTAAGATCATCGTTGGTGAAAGCTTATGCTCATATTACCGGCGGTGGCTTAGTAGATAATGTTAGCCGCATTTTACCCCAAAATTGTAAAGCAGTAATTGATGCTCATCAATGGAAAATGGCTGATGTATTTAAATGGATAGCAAACGAAGGTAAACGGTGCAGCATGTACGAAGACAGTAGGTCGAATTCTCGATAAATAGATTGTGAGTTTTAAATCTACTT